AGGAGGATTACTGACTCACAGTACTCGGAAGGGTAAGGGTGAAGACGGCCTCTGGAATGACCGGCGCTAGGAAGTTCTTCACAGGCGATACCAAGGGACTGCTGTTAGGTGATTATTGTACAATATGAATTGTGTTCTGAAACCCGAGGAGTCCTGATTATTATTCTGTCTGTAAGTTTGATGGAAGCATCATAGTCCAGCAACAGAAAAACATAGAACAGTTTTATTTTTCCAATAACTGATAGCAACTTATTTCTCTTTTTAAACATGGTGTCAGAAGAAAAAAAAATTTGGTGGTCAGTGTTTTCTTAGTTTCTTTCAATAAACACCAGTCCTATCCAATAATTGATTATGCAATCTAGTAATTAAAATCTCAATCAGAGGGCCTCTCCATCAGTTGCTGCTCATAGGTGTTGAGGACCGAGCCCGTGGCGCACTAGGGAGAGTGTGGCGCTGGGAGCGCAGCGACGCTCCTGTCGCAGGTTTGGATCCTATATAGGGATGACCGGTGCGCTCACTGGCTGAGCGTGGTGTGGGCGACACCACACCAAGGGTTGCGATCCCCTTACTGGTCACGAGAAAGACAAAAAAAAAAAGAAAAAGCTGTTGATACTATGTCGCCTGTTTGCCTGTCATAGTGTGTGAGCTTCTACTTCTTAAGAGTGCTTAGTAGATGTAGTGTGTGCTGTCCTTGTCCCTGCTGCAAGTTACGATGGCCCCTTGGATGGTGCTCAGTAGGCTCTGTTCAGTGATTGCAGCTCACCCTTTTTTTTTTGCATATTTCTTTTTTACTGAGGAGGCTCTCACAGTGCACTGACACCTCTCTTTGACCATCTCAGTGTCCTCAGTACCACGTGTCAAGGAGTATTTCTAAGTCTCTTCCTTTGCTCTCCTGGAACAGAAGGCTTAGGTTTTGGTACCTCAGTGTTCCATGTCACTACTGCCATCTCAGCACTGGACACATCTGTGAGTATCAAGCCGGGAGAAATCCCAGTGAGAATGGGTACCTCACCTGTGTCCCAGATTTACTCCTAACCCTGTGAGAGAGACTGACTGCAGCAGTAACCCTCATTTGTCCACACCATCCTTAACGACACTCTTCCACACTGGTTCTGGGCTGGACCATGTAAAACGCTTTGGCCAGTGAAAGACTCAATGATGTGATGCAAGCAGAGATTTGACAAACAAATGGAAATAAAAAGAATGCGGTAAAGACAATGTAAATCTTATTTATTTATTTATTTATTTTGGTAAATAACATTTTAAAACAGTTTTAAATTTAATGTTACTTATTAGTAGACAAAACATTTGTCTACTTCTAAGTTTGGTTTGTTTCTTTTAATTGCAGTCAGTTGTAAAATGTACCTCACAATGTTACACAGCTCAAAATAGGAAGAATATTATTAGCTGTACTTAACAAGTTATGATTCTCATTTTTCAGTTATTTCCATATTGCTTTTCATTGAAATCACTAGCACATACTGTCATCCTAATATTGATCCAGTTCTTATAAACTGGGAGGGTGTTACATTTTAAACTTATTCATAAATGAGTTCAAAATCCACTGAAATCCCACATTTTGAAGATTTCAAAGAAGGTGGATAAGCCACATCCTTTCATTATTTTTCCCACAAGAAAAAATATCACAATATGATAAAACATTTCTGTCTAAGGACAGTTTTTCAAATGCTGTCTCCATAGTATAAATTCTTTTATAATGTAGTTGTCTTCTCATTTATTGTTAAAACATCATCTTTACGTTGAAAGCACAGGTTAGTTTTGTGCGTGCGTGTGCGTGTGTGCGCGCGCGCGTGTGCACGTGTGCGTGCGTGCATGTGTGTGTGCGCGTGCACGTGTGTGCGCGTGTGTGCACGTGTGTGTGCGTGCGTGTGTGCTCATTTACTTTACCATCTGCTCATTTGCATACCACTGGAAGACATTTCACAGCACTAAAAAAGTAAGCAAAATTGGAGCATTTTTTTAAAACAAGCATAATATTCAATGGTTCCCAAGTCTTTTAAGTAATTTGCTAAAGTGAACAAAATGGTCTCTTGCCATCTTTTTATAAAATATCATAAATAACTAACAGGTATCTTGCTTTTATGAAATTAACCACGTCGGGGTATCACAATGAGCTGTGACACCACCCAACAGAGTTAAGTCAAATGTCACTGGTTAAGGGCACACCCTCCCCAAGACTGGCCTTATTTCAGATACCAGACACAAGTTCAGTGGTTCCCAGGGCTCCTCTCACTTCTAATCAACTGCTTACAAATTTGGGGGCTCCTGTGACTATCTCAGGTTTTATAATTTGTGACTTATGATAACAGTTTTATAACAGCAAGAGAATAAAAGTCAGAACCAGCCAAAGGGGGAGACACATGGGGGGAGGGTCCCAAATGTAAAACTTGCATTGACCCCATGGGTGTGTCACCTTCCCAGCACCTTAATGTGTGGCAATAGACAGAGTTTTGCAAACCAGGAAACTCACCCGACCTTCAATATTTAGAGTTTTTATTGGGGCTCATTACATAGGCATGACTGATTGAATCACTGGTCATGAAGTTGAACTCAGTCTCCAGCATCCCTTCCTTGCCTGAGCTGCTATCTCATGGCTCATAGTTCCAACACTCTAATCATATGTCGGTTTTTCTGGCATAGCCAGCCCCCATCTTGAGTCATCCTGTAGCATGAAGTTTCTGGGAGCCCCTCATGACAGTCCTCATTAGCGTAAAATATCAAGGCTCACCATGAATAACAAATACTCCTACTACTTGGGAAATTCCAAGGTGGTGGGTGGTCTGGTGCAGGGAGTCAGAGCACAAGCAGGCCAACGAGGGAATCCATGCACAAGGTCACCTTCCATGGGGAGTCAGAGCCCCAAGTGGGTGAGGAGAGAGTCCTTGTGGAGGGGCAGCCTGGTGTGGCATGTCAGCATCTGGCAGAGGTGAGGAAGGCACCCATAGTTGCCTGTACATGGTGTTAGCCCAGTGTGGGTTGGGACTCCGAGACTAAGCAGGGTGGAGAGAGCATCCTTGCAGAGGGGAGACCTGGGGTAGGCTTCAGAGACCAAGAGAGATAAGTGGGCTGTCCATGTGGTGGAATATCCAAGTGTGGGGTGGCAGAGCCCTATAGGGTGAGGGGAGCTTCCGCCCACGGCAGGAACATTGTGTGGCATGTTAGAGACTAAAGGAGTCTCCGTGGTGGCTAGGGGACCAGCACCAGGAATCAGAGCACAGCAGAGTAGCACAGCAGAGTGTCAGGACCTCAGCAAGGCGAGAGGATGTCTCCGGGCAGGGCTGGCTGGCCTTGTGCGAGAACATCCAAGCAGAGAGGGGGAGACGTCAATGAAGGGGGCAGAGCGTCAGAGCCCAACCAGGGAGAGGAGGGCCTCTGAGTGGGGGGCAGTGCAGCAAAGACGGGGGTCCGTAGCATCCAGGAGATGGGTCAAGTAAGCAAGGTAGTCAAAGATAATGAAAACAGGTTTCTTATTGTCACAGAAGGGAGTTAGAAATGGGGTGTGTTCGTCTGTTCTTGTGTTGTTATAATAGAATACCCGAGGCAGCATAATTCATAAAGAAAAGGGGTTTCTTTGGCTCATGATTCTGGGGCAGCTGAATCTGGAAGGGTCTCAGGCTGATTCTAGTCATGGAGGAAAGTGGCAGGGCAGCCTGCCGGGGCAAGACCACATGGCGAGAGAGAAAGCAAGAGAGAGAGGGGAGGCACCAGCCTCTTCTAGCAGCCCCCTCTCATGGGGACTAATCCATTTCTACCATTTCACTCAGTCCCCAGGGAGGGTGTTAATCTATTCATAAGGGATCCACCCCCACGCCCGAACACCTCCCACTAGGCTACCTTTCAACACGGCCACATCGAGGATCAGATGTCCACATGAGCTTTGGGGGAACAGCATATCTAAACTATATCATGTGAAGAGTGAGAAAATTAGAATAAAACATGTGGGGTTAGATTGGAATTAGAGGTATTAGTGTGAACTCATGGTTTTCAATATGTTTAGATACAGAAATAGATATAGAAATAAAGAAATACAGAAGTAAATGTAGAGGTAAGTATGTAGGGAGCGTGTGTATGTGTGTGTGTGTGTGTGTGTGTTATGCAGGAGAAAAAGGAGTTGGGGGGATATTAAAAGAAGGAGGATCATTCAGGAAGAGCTGAGGGCAGAAACTCTGAGTGTGAGCTGGGAACAAGTCTGTGGAAAGATTCTATGTGAAGGATTTAGATTTTGGAGTGTTTTCCTCTTGGCTTTTGGAAAAAGTCATATTTAGCACTCAGTTCAGCTTTATCCCTTTCTACACTGTGATTTCAATTTCCCTAACTGCGAAAACATAGTCATGTGTCCCTGGATGGCCTTTTGTCGAGGTGGTGTGGAGATCAAAGGACTAGAGAGGTGTGGGATGAAGAACAGCCTCCTCCTGCAGCATCCAGTAAAGAGCTGCTTTCAGGGGTTCTGCGGGTGACTAGTAGCAAAATGAATGGAGATTCACGATGAAGTTAGTTACGATCAACAGGGAAAAGCAGAGCGCACGGAGGAGCATCCTCAGAAAGCATAAGATTTACTCGTGCTTTTACTGGAGGAAGCTGACCCTTGAAAACGGGAGGCTCATGTGAGTTTTGTGTCAACGATTCTCTGAGAATGTTGTGCCTGATCAGCAAAAAATGATGAGATGAATGCGATGTGAACGCGTGTTTGCTCGGGTTGCCTGGTTTCTTAGCAATTATGTTTGCATGTGGAAGTGCGTGAATTTTATATTTGCTGGTGAGTTCAGAGAACACGGTTCTCGGAAAATACTTCTCCGATCGTTTGGTTCCTCTTTTCCTTTCCTTCCCACTTCTTTCCCCCACCCTTTGAGTTCCCCTTTTATTCCATTTGCTAGCATACGTTTAAAGCTGTGATTCTCACTTTGTTCCTCCTGGGGCTTGAACCTCCTTCTGTGGACTTAGCGGCCCCGCATTGCTGTTTTTAGTTCTTATGGGATAACTCCCAGAGTACTTGCCTACTTGTTGCCTCTGTTTTCATCTAGTTGAGTGATAGAAAGTAGACAATTTACCACATGCTTGGTTATCATTCATAAGATACTGTAGGGAGGGGATAAAACAGATTTTCTGAAGAAGGCAGAAGGTATCTTCTGAATATGGCTTTGGAAGTCACTTATGCTGAAGTGAAGTTCGAAAATGAATCCAAGTCCTCAGGCACCAACTCAGGCTCTCCTGCAGGTAAAGTACATTTTCTGATGGTCAGAGTTACTGATGAAGGATGAAGAGAGGGTTTATAAACAAGGCGTGGGTGGTGTTGGGAGACATAGGAGTCTCTCAGAAGGTTGAGCTGCTTGTAGATAACATCGAGGAGCT